TTTATTAATATGTAGAATATTTAATACTTTATCAGTATCTGATTAATATATGATCATAGATTTAGAAGTAACTACTAAGATTCTAAAATATTTACTATACACAACTTCAAGTGAAGAATATATGGGCTAAAAATGTGCTCATAAATAATTACAGTGGGAATGGTTTCTTAATAATACAGTAAGGGGTCAAGAAAATTCTTAGTAATCACAAAATTTTTACTTCTAGAATACATAATGACATACAAACTAAAATTAAATTGTATTATATAATAATATAAAAGAAAAGATAAAAATGTTAAGAAATTCTAAGAGTTACAAAAAAGAAAGTTCATTACTTCTTCAAAAAAGGTTATAAAAACCCTTTATGATCTTTCATGCTTTTTCTGTATTGGCATCTCTTAAAAGCCTCCTCCTTTCAATGACATCTTCTCTAATAATATGAAAAGTAAGTTCTAGATTCCCTATGGTCCTACAGTGACTTCAGAAGCAATTAATTTTCTATTCACATAACATTCTATAATGAAGTTTTATCCTCTGACAGAAAAATAATTTATTCACTCAAATGTTTATTCAGAAATTGTTATACCTTTCATATTGGTAGCAAAGCTTGTGTTAAAATGTTCCAGCAGGCTTAAAAATAATTCCTTCATATAGTAAATCATTTATTGGCCCACTGTGGGCTTTAAAGGAAATATATGATCTAATATTATATATTTAGATATCTACATATTTCTATCTATCCATATAAGTTAGATGTTACTTAAATGGGAAGAAATGGTGACATTTGGAGGAAAATAATAGGAGAAGTTTTGTGGAGAATAACATTATTAAAAGAAAAATGAACTGGAACAAATGATCAAAATATAAAAAAGGTAATAAGTACCTAGTGCTATGCTATAAGCTAAGAAAGGAAAGAATTTCATGAAGAATAAAGTAGTTAATAGGGTCTATTTCTATAGAAAAGTTGAATAACATATAAAAGTTTATGTTTCTAGGAGAGAAAATTTTTCCTCAAATACTAAAAAAAAACTATTTAAAGATTGATGATTAAGTCTCAGAAAATAGAATGGGACTGAAGATATGGATATCCAGATTAATAGAGGAGGGGTGCTTAATACACGACAGTGATGACATTAGAAAGAGAGAAAGAGATTAGCTAGCTGAACTAGCTTAACTAGCTAAGTTAAAGCAGATGGAAAGATACAATGAGCATAAAAATGAATACACATAATTTGAGAAACATTATTTTGACTAAAATATTAGGAAAAGTCATCTACTACAAATGGTGATAAAGGCATAGAAGATACTTAACATTTGAAATAATTGAGAAAAAATAAGGAGAAGTATTAGTAGGAATGCATGGAAAGTTTGTACAAAACTATCAATAATTATGTTAAAGTGTGTATTTAAGAAAAGGAGAAATTCCGGGTAATGATAACATCTATAGTAGGATTATGCAACTGCATGAGTAATTTAAGAACGTAGGGAAATTGAAGGTTTTACAAAGAGCAGACATCTCAGAGAGGTACTAAGATCACTAAGAATACATATACAACTTGGGCAGAAAGGACTCTGATCTTAGTACCAAAGTCTTCAATGAGAAAATAACAGAATACAGTGGTAAGTACATGGTATGCCATAAACTGAAGGAGGAAAGAATTTCACTAAAGCTAAAGTGGCTAATAGGGCCTCTTGATGGCCACCAGACACAAATTGCAAGGAAAAACACATGTATAGACAAGAGTATCTTTGGAATTGGCTCTGTGAAGTTAGGAAAACAATTCAAAAGGAGTAGGGATATAAGAGAGAGATGGGTACAGTGTTGTTCTTCAGAGTCAAAGTAGTCTCCATGTATAAACAGAATGAACTTATTATAGAACAGAAAGACGTGTCTCAAAAAACAGATTTAAGACTTCACAGTGAGACTATTGGAAGGCACAAAGCACAGGAAATGAGGCAGAGGAAAGGGAGTGGGGAAGAGCATAAAGACAAAGGGAGGACAGATAAACAGAGGTACCTATTCTGAGAGGTAAACACAGATAATAGACATAGGAGACAAAGTAGATTTAACTGACCTGAAGATTCCAATTGCAACCTGGTGAAAACTTGTATTTAGGATTAGTATAAGAAAGCACAGATCCTAGAAAGAGCCCAAGGCCTTTTGACCATAATAGCTTGATTAGAAAACTTTCAAAAGAACCTTGTATAAGTTCCTGATTCTCAGACATCTACTACATTGACTTGTGGTCAGAAGAGGCTATTTTGTTATTTTATTACTAATTTATATTACCAAGTACCCGCATCAAGTGTATGAGTAGCTATGGGGCTAGGGTTGTGGCTCAGTAGTAGAGTGCTTGCCTAGCATGGGTGAGGCACTGGGTTCTATTCTCAGCACTATGTATAAACAAATAAATACATAAAGGTCTGTCAATAACTAATAAAATTTTTTTAAAAGAATATGAGTAGCTAGAATTAGTCCAATTAAAAATTCTGAATCATGTTGACATCCACAGAATGAAAGAACATCTAGAATTCTGGTAATACTCCAGACTGTGTCCTAGAATATTGATTTTCAAATATTTCTGGCCATAAAAATCATGTATGAAACTTTTCCAACAGCAGATTATGATTCACTAGGTCTGTGATTCCATATTTCTCACAAGCTACCAGATAATGCTAATATTTATTATCCAGGGGACACACTTTGATTAGTAAGATCCCATAAGACTCCACTTTTAAGTAAGTACATATTTTGACTTATATTAATAAAACACAGTCAACAGAGATAGAGAAATTATGCTCTACTTTAAAGGGTTCATATCTGAAAATACTCAAAATTGTATTGGCAATGGCCTTGAATATTATTGTTCACGGAAAACACTAGAAAGGTATAAATGAATGAAGCAATCAAGTAAAAGATAAAAGAGTTAATAATGTTTAGCCATTGTTAATGGATGCCTAAAAATAAATTAATACCATTCAAGTTCATGAGATGGGCCTCCCATGAGTTCAAAATAACTTACATAAACTGACAGGTGAAGAAGTTAATAAAATTAATGTACATCTGAACTGCATATCCATCATCATTACTATGTGTTTCTCTCAAGGACTTTTAACACATATACATTATACTTAGCCTGAAGGAAATGTCTAGGTAAATCATTTCACATTCTATTTTAGTAGACAATTAAGAATGATGTTGTTATTTCAGAAAATGAGAGTTCAAGTTGATAAAGGTGACTTGCTAGGCATCAGAAAACCACTTATACAATATTGCACATTTTTTAGCACTTTTAGTTTGTCATGTTGACACAATCTATTAAATGTAAATTGCTTCTAGGTAACCATATGATAACAGAAAATTTTTGAATTTATATTCCTGAAATGCAGGAACTCAATTTTCTTGCTTGATCAAAGTTGCTTTAAGATACAGAAATAGGATGACAAACAGAAAACTATATAAATCAGATAAAGTATTTTAATTAGCTAATGAAATACCCAATGTGATTCATACTTTTAGTGGTTAAATATATCACATGAGCTTTGAAAGTTAGAGTGTATCTTTTCTAGGTAGTTTTTCTACTTGGACTTTCTTTCAAATATCATAACAAAGAATATGCTTTTAAAAAATTACACATTACAAAAAGACATTCTGCTAATTTCACATTAAGGCAAATACTACTATAATTCTATAATAAATAATTATACTATTATCTTCTATTCATTTAATTTTGAAACTAATGTAATTATATTTCCCGTTTCTTGAAACAATTTATACCAGTTTATTAAAATGCTAATAGCAGCATATTTTATAAAGCCAATAAGAAATTTAACATAACTTTCCAATTTGTAAATATAAAGAGTCAATTCTAAGAATATTTGACAAATTATTGTCTTTCCTCAAGCAGTCTAAAAATGCATTGTTTTCTTCCAGAAGCTCTTTGCAGTTGTTTTTCTTCAAAATTTCCAATCCCACAACAAACATAAGCTTATATCTGAGGTAGTTTTGTATTTGATAATATAATAGCTATTGTAGTTCATGAATTAAATGCTAGAAAACTAAAGCAGAACTAACGTGTACACTTACATGTGACATTTATATAACTAAAATTATTTAACATTCATATTTTTGCCCTATCCCCTTTATTTACTCAGCCTTGTAGAAATTCTTTCAAAACTGCTGTCAATTGTAAATTAAAATGAATGTTTTATAATTGTTGAAGTTGAAAAATAAAAGCCTGATAACTTCCCTGAAGATGAAACAGCTATTATTAAGTTAATAAAATTTCCTATTGTGAAGGTTAAAATTATAATGTCTTGGAAAGGAATTAAAAACAAGCAAGCCATCTTTCATCATAAGTAAATACTGAAGGAAGATAGACATATTTTAATTAAGGTAAATATATATATGAACTATAAACCTGTTATAATTTATGACATATATTATTGACTATAAAGAATAACTATTTGGGGGGGGTGGTTCCTGGGGATTGAGCCCAGGGGCACTAAAACACTGAGCCATATCCCCATCCCTTTTTTAATATTTTTATTTAGAGACAAGGTTTCATTGTGTTGTTTAGGGCATTGCTAAATTGCTGAGGCTGGTTTTTAACTCGTGATGCTCCTGCCTCAGCCATAGAATTTCTAAGAGTGTATTATGTTCAACTCTATTTCATTCTATTCTGTTCTGTTCTGCAAAGTTCCTAAAGCCTAGCTAGACTTGAGCTAACATAAAAATATATGATGGGAAATCAACAGAAGTTCATCTTCTAATATATAAAAAACACTTCTTGTCACAGCAGAATCTGGAAAAGATTATCCTAAGCTAAAATTTGATTTTGCTTGACATCTAAAATAAATTTTAAACATATATTAAATAGCATGGTATCAGATTTTTTTAATCGCACCACCTCTAATAAAAATCAGAGAATTAAAAAGGCAGAGAGTTTACAAGTAGCACAAAATAGAAAAAAAATGTTAAAACTTAATGCAGAACCTACATTAACTTTTTCTTTAAGGTCTGAGAAGTTGCCTTCCTTCCGATAGATTGCAAATTCAGGACTCTGCAATACAGCTTCTGAGCGAGTAATCCAACTGTGAAGTTCAGTAATATCGACATCCAACCTAAGACAGCAAAGAATAAAAGTCATTATCTCTTTCTTCTATATGGAAAGAAAAGCAATTTATTCACATTTATCATTTTCCTCCCAATCTGAGACTCCCTCCTGATGTCTTTATTACTGTTAATAGCCCCACTCTTTCCCTAGTTAGGCAGGCTCAAATTTGAAGTCGGCTTTGATGTACAGTCTTATGATCATGGAGGTCATTTTATTCCCCTCAATGCAGCAATCACCTCTACAGTATCTCCTATAAGCTATTACCCAGGCTCTGCTTGAATGTTTGTACTATTTGCAAAATTACTACTTCCCAAGATGAGTTTCTTTGTTTTTGAGAAGTATTTATAAGAAACTGAAATTCTGGTTGGTGGTAGCCATTGAACCATACTTTTGATATCCTTGTCCTGATACTCTCTAAACATATTGTCTCTGGGTTTGATCATGTGACTTGTTATGGAAAATAGGATATTAGTAAGATAGTCCCAGTAAGGGCTTGATAAACACTTGCATACTGTAGTCCTCTTAAAATACACACTTGTTGAACGCAAATGTAATTAATATAAGAAGTCCAATGATTCTGAGGTGACCATGCTTTAAGGAAGTTTAATGTATTCATGTGGACAGGATACATGGAAGAACATAAAGAAACAATCGTATGAATAAGGCCTTCTCTGACCTTCTGACCCTTTGAATAATAGCTGAATATTGCATAATGGATGTTCTAGCAGACACTGCATTATAGCTAAATCAGTGCCCAAAGGACACTTCCCACATTGTAGAGATATGAGAAATGATAAACAACTACTGTGTTAGGCTACTAAGTTTTGGTGTAGGGTATTTTGCTGCAAGAAATATCTGATCAATTACCATGTTATTTGGAACTTTTTTTTAAATTCAGATCTAGATTAGATAAGGTATGGAAGAATCTCAAGTGTCCATTAATGGATCAAAGGATAAAGAAAATGTAATAAACACACACACACACACACACGCACAAAATGAAATACTATTCAGCTTTATAAAAGGAGTTTCTATCATCTGTGACAATATGGATGAAACTGGATGGCATTATACTAAGTGAAATAAGCCAGATCCAAAAAGATTAATAATATATGATCTCACTAATTATGAGATCTCTAAAATACTCAAACTCATAGAAGCAGAGAGTACAATGCTGGTTACCAGAGGTTGGAAGAAGGAGGGCATAGTAAGGAAGATGTTAATCAAAGTATGAAAATATACAGTTAGAAGGAATAAGTCCAGGAGATCTACTGCACAAAATGGCAACTGTAGTTTTTAGCAATATTCTCCATCTGAAAATCATTAAGTTAATAGATTTGAAACATGCTCACTAGAAAAAAATGATAAAATATGATATAGTGGGTACATTAGCATGGTTTAGCCATCCATAACACATACATATATTAAAACATGTTTTATATCATTAATATATATTATTTTAATCTAAAAATTGAAAGTAGGTTTAACAAAAGAAAATTTAAAACTTCAAAAAAGCATAGATTTTAGGGTAGTCATAGATGAGTTGCAGGAGTGATGAATGAATTAATGAATCACTGGAAATTCTGAAGGTATATGTGTTTTTCTTCAGAAAGAGCTCCTAGATTTTATCAAAATCAATGAAGGATCCATGACAAGGGAATTTAGAGATCATCTAATCCAACAACTTATTGAGCATAGCAAACCAAACAAACCAAATAGACATTCTTAGGGAAAAAAAGAACAATTTTTAGAGGACCTTTTTAGAGCACAAGGAAAATATAAAATTTAAGATACAAAGTAAGGTATTTTAATCACCATGTTATTACTTCTTTATTCCTGTCTTCAAATATTTGAAATAAACAATTTAAATGCACCAAAAGACATCTGAAGGTTATCCTGCCTATTCCTAATTATTTCAGTGTATTTTCCATGGTTTGTCCATATCTTAGGTTCCCTATAATTTGGCACCTAAAGAAAACACATGAGCAGTGTACAGTATAATCAAGGAAAAAGAGACAACTATCTTCTTACAATACTTTTATGATAGTCTATTATTTTAATGTTTTCATGTCAATATTAGATTTTCAACACACCTTGAGGTGAATTTGACCTAAAACTTTTTGGAATTTTTCATAAAACATTATTAAGCTAGTTCCATCACACGCAATTATATTAGCTATCACAAACATATGGACTAATGTTTTTATATTTGAGAGTCATATTTCTTTTTTTATTGTAGTTGTAGATGGACAGCATGCCTTTATTTATTTTTATGTGGTGCTGAGGATAGAACCCGGTGTCTTTCACATGCTGAGCAAGTGCTTTGCCACAGAGCTATAGCCTCAGGCCCATGAACTGATTTTTTAAACCAGTATTTCAAGGTTTTAACTAGTATGAATCTTTTAGAATGTTTTACTTACTTTCAGGCTATTGTTTTAAAATTAAACTCATATGGAACTTTATAAAACAGAAACCCTTACAAATATACACATCTTATATTCTTACAAAAAGCTATAGTTATACATTACCAATTACCCTGCCCAATTACCCTTCCTTATATAAGGAAAGGGAGACTCAAGAGAATTTAAGTTAATTGACCTTGGACTTTTGGCATCATGGGATAGGAACTTAGATCATCTAGCTCACCTCTATGTCCTCCAACAAAAAGAGAGCCTACTTCCTAGTAATAAATATTTACTGATTTGTTATTTACCAAAGAGTCCCAACTAGATATTGAGAGAATAGGGATCTGAATTCCTCTAAACCTCATGTAATTGAATGTCAACACTTTTTCATTTGTGCATGAATTGTTAATATTTATTGACTTTAGATTTTGTTGTTGTTTTTCTTTGGCCCGGCATAAAAATCCTTGTGTCTCTTTGCCTGTAGATTTTACTGAACAGTTCATGGGACAGACCAAGAATATTTGACAAGTATTAACCAGTGAGAGCTTTGAGTTGATGTTTACGTATCCCAAACCCCTTATTACTCAATTGGACCATCTTGAAGTATACTGTATTCTGTCTCTCAGAGGTTCCTGGCAAGAATGAGCCCCATTTACCACCAGCATTTCTCTGATTCCTACTCAGGTATCATATTTTATTGTCTATATTCTTTTCTTTATCTCACTTCTCTCATTTGCTTCCTGGGATCACTGTCCAAATAAACTACTTGCACTTAGTTACTTGTCTCCAGATCTACTCTTAGGGAACCTCAAACTAAGGGAATGATCAACAGCCTTAAAAGAATCCAGCATTCTACCATACATTTTATTTTTTAATTTGAACTCGGACTCACCACAGGAACTATTTAAAACTTTCTCCCAGAGCTCTCAAGTCTCTGACCCATCCTGTTCCTTCAGGTGTCCAAGTAAATGACCTTGTTTTCCCTCTTACAGAGAAAAATACAAATATAAGAATTTCTTCTACTTGCTATATCTAAAAATTCCATCTTACCTGCATGTGAAGCCATTCTTTTCATTTCCTTCTCTTACATTTGAGTGAATTTCCATTCTTTTACCATAAATAAATCCCACTACTTTGCATTTTGGATGTTGTTCTATTATTTCTCAAGCATCAAAGACCATCAATTTTCTATTATCTACTATAAATTCAATCCCATCCATATCACAAATGCATTGTTATATGGGAATTCAACATAGTTTATTGACTTCTATTTTTATCAAGCTTCTCTTGACCTTCACATTTCCTGTTTCTCTTTGCTTGTGTTTTATAAAGGTAAACATTTTACAACAGTTATATAGTTTACTGAATAGGTTTCCTACTTCCTAGTCACTCTTTAACCCAGTCACTAATGTTTCTCAACAAAAATACTGTTTGATAAAGTGATCATGTCACTAAAGCCAATGCAGAGTTTTACTTTCTTGCTGCCTAATAACATTTAACACTATTGACAATACTGCTTTTAGAAATTCTCCTTCATTTGCCTCCATGATACTCCTCTAATCTAATTTGCCTTCTATTTCTATAATCGCTGATTATTATTTTTTCTTTGCTGCTGATCCTCCTCCATCTTGTTAGAATGTAGTGGAGTTCAAGACCTAGTACATTAACAATCATCTTCTACATAACCATGTAATTCTCTCTCACCAGCAATCTTATTTATGCTCATAACTTGTACTATAATCTATTTATCAATGACTGATAATATCTATTTCAAAATAAGGCATTTCTGTTGAGCCCCACAGCTTATAACCAATTACCTTATGGATGTATCCATTTATAAATTGCAAAATCATCTTTAATATCAGATGTCAAGGATTGCTTTAGCTATTCTGTGTTTCTTATTTTTCCAGATGAATTTCATACTGTTTTTTCTATTTCTGTAAAGAATGCCTTTGGGATTTTGATTGGAATTGCATTGAGTCTGTATAGTGCTTTTGGTAGTATGGTCATTTTGATAATATTAATTCTGCCTGTCCAAGAGCAAGGTAGATCTTTCCATCTTTTATCAGACCTTAAACTATACTGCAAAGCGATAGTAATAAAAATAGCATGTTATTGGCACCAAAATTGTAGATCAATGGTACAGAATAGAGGACACATAGACTAACCCATAAAAATATGATAATCTTATATTAGACAAAGGGATCAAAAACATGCATTGGAAAAAAAACATAGCCTCTTCAACAAATGGTGCTGGGAAAACTGGAAATCCCTTTACAACACAATGAAATTAAACCCCTATCTCTCACCATGCACAAAACTCAACTCAAAGTGGATCAATGACCTACAATTAAACCAAAAACCCTGTGTCTAATAGAAGAAAAAGGAGGCTCTAATCTCTATCATGTGGGATTATGACCCAACTTCCTTAATAAGATTCTTACAGCACAAGAATTAAAATCAATAATCAGGAGGACAGATCCAAGATGGCTGAGTAGAGGAGATTCCGTTTCTGGCTGCTCTGTGCATGATTCCAAGAGAGTGATTGGATGACATCTCCACAGGGGCTTGCCTTGACAAACTGCAGCTTCTCAGAGCATAT